ACTATATCAAAGTCATTTGGCTGTGTGTGGGTTTGTTTGTTTTTTATTCCACAGTTTGCAAAATGATCACAGAGTCATAGAAAGTAAGATGCAAATATCAGGCATACTGCACACCACCGAGTGTCACTGCAGATATGTATCTTTATGGAGTAGTGTATCCACAATAAATAAAAGCCCAGATAAGACGGCAGTGATGCAGAGACACACCTGAGGATGAGTCCGCTTTAATGGGCTGCTGCTCATTTTCCCTTCTTGAACCTCCTCATGTGTGCCGCTATCGAGTTGGTGATCTCCACACTTCTTTTGTTCTGTCCGAAATAATCCACGAACTCTCCGTCGGGTCCCACAAGGTACATGATGATTGTGTGATCGACCTACAGAAGACAGACACAAACTTAGTAACTGAAGGAAATCACGAGATCTGGGAGCTGATTGAGAGCAGACGGTAACTCACGATGTAGTCGTTGTCTTCATCCTTTGGCCCCTGACTGAAGTACACTCTGTACGCTCTGGAAACTTCATTGATCTGAGCCGTCGTTCCCGTCAGACCGATCAGCTTTGGGGAAAACTCTGAAAGATGAGACAGTAAGAAAGTTTAACACCTAGAAACACAGGAGTAAAGCAGCTAAATGACGGCATAATAATCAGATTTTATAAGAAGCTCTAATCAACACAAACCACTTTCACCTGCAGACCTGCAACCACAACTCCAAAAACAAAAACTTTATTTATTTGCAACTTTTTGTCCCTGATCTGAATCTGTGCACACCTGCATTGTTTTTGCTTTCAACACCTATCCCATTCAGTGTCATTGGAGCTCGAGGCCACACAGAACCCAGGACCACCTCACTGTCAGGCATCAGTGCTAACCACTGCAACACTGCTCACATAAGTCACGATATTTCTTATTTTCCTCAATCATTAAAAAGCAAAAACAGACCAAACAGAATCAATTCTTGTCCTCTCACAGTCTGACCATCAGGTGATGCTGGCTCAGAGTGCTTTTTAGGGACATCGATCTGTGTACAGTGAAGGTTTTGTGTTACGTTACTTGACAGAAATGTCTGCACGTGTCTGTCTGCTGTTATTTTTGACCACTGGATGAACAGAAATGTGTTGAATTTCCTTCCACCTCAAGGCGCTTTATATTGTAAGGTAGACCCTATGATAATATATACAGAGAAAAACCCAACCATCATATGACCCCCTATCAGCAAGCACTTTGGCGACAGTGGGAAGGAAAAACTTCCTTTTAACAGGAAGAAACCTCCGGCAGAACCAGGCTCAGGGAGGGCAGGAGTCTGGTTGGGGTGAGGGAAGGAAGACAGGATAAAAGACATGCTGTTAGGTTCTAGCATCAGTTTATAAGACTTGGTATTTAGCTACAAAAGAGTGTTTGTACATATAAATACACACACAGAAGCACTAAGGTGTTATGAAAATGAAAAATATTCTATTTGTCTAATAGAAGTCTAATAGTTCTATAAAAGCAGGGGTTCAGTTGATACCTCTGCTTTTCTTCTGAGAAGATGAATTACAAAAATTACAGAAAACTAAGATGGAGTCGTGACGTCATAGTGGAAAATGTTGTCATGTGCGTGTACTGAGGCACAGTTTGATCACGTTGCTTTCTTACCTTTCACATATGTAGCTAAGGCCTCTGGTGTGTCCCTGTCGGGGTCGATGGTGATGAGGATCGGCGTCAAGTTTGGCAAAGTTTTTATTTTGTCTGCAAAACAACAACAAAAAAAGCCAGATGTTGAGTAAAATCAGGACTTTGACTTCTCGCTGCAAATAAAAAATGGTTTAAATACCTATTTCATCCACCACTTCGATCATCTTCTCCAGTTCATCGGGGCAGATGTCGGGGCAGTGAGTGAACCCGAAGTAGAGGAGGATCCACTGGCCGAGGAAGTCCTCGCTCTTGGTGGGCTTGTTGTTGTGATCGATGAGTGAGAACGGGCCTCCCAGCGCCGCCTTCCCTATCGACTTGTTCCTCTCTTTTTCAATCACTGCCAATTGCAACACAGTCACAGAGGAGGAGCATTTAGGACCCCTATCACTTTATTTAACCTTTATATCTATAAAATACACAGTCTGTCTGCGGTTTCTTTCTATACAGGCATTGAAGTTTAGTCTTAGAGCGCATTAACCAGTGAAATACTTACTTTCTTCCTTTTCTTTCTTAAAATATTTCATCCCTCCGAGCAGCGCACCACCGATGGCAAACGTTACTGCTAAAGATTTCCACGTCACAGGCTTTAAAGAGAGCACAAAGGAAGCAAAAGGACTGAACGGGTGTAGTTATACAGATATTTATGTCTTGACATTCTCTACCTGCAAATAAACTCTTGGTAAGCTTATTTTAACAGCTCCATATCCTTTGGGTCACCTTAAATAAATCAGTTATAGCTGAGTTTGGGAGAAGACTGCTACAGACTGCTGCTACAGGCCCTAATGTCAGTCATGTCCCTGCCCTATATGACAAAAGAAACCTTTAAAACTTAGTTAATGTCTGAAAATTTCAATTGAGAACAAATGGAGTTGATCACGCTGGGGATCAGCTGTAACATAAACGTTTAACTCTTACCCCAGACGTCTTTGGCTTATCTCCTGATGAGGGTGGAGGAGGCATCGAGGAAAACGTTCTTAAGCTGTGTTGATTCTGCCATTGCGTTGCTCTGCAGGTGTGCCGCTGACTCCCATTCACCTGTTAATGAGCAAGCACAGGAAGCTGTGAGTTGATTTAAGTCGTAAAATATAAAAATGCTGCAGTTAAATATGGCCACAGTTTCAAATGAGGTCAGTGGATACAGGGGTGGTGTCATCAATGCGGCTGATGCATTTCTCTTTGCTAAGATGGGCAGTAATGTTAAAGCAGCCTCTTAACTACTTAAAGTCACTGCTGTAAGTCTTGAAAACAAAGGCATTTATCTCTGATTTCAGGAACAGCAGCGCCCCCGTCTGCAGCAATGATAACTGCACTGAGAGTCATCTCTACTCTTGGACCTCTAACAGCTCAGCGCTCATAAATGAGGCAAAGGTTACTGCTTTAAAGTGATCTTTCCACAGAATCTCTTTCATCTTCTCCTCTTGTCTCAGCTGAAAGACGCTGGATTTTGCTGCTGCCCTGAAGGTTCAATCTAAAATCCAGGTTTGTGACAGTAAGCTTTACATACAGTAGGCATTACATATGCGCCAGCGTAATAATTACACTGCTTAATGCTTAATTAGCTACACTCCCCTATTAGCATTACCAAAGCTGCTACCTTATTATTATTACCATCTTATTTGTATGTACTTTTTATATTTAGTGGTGTTTGACAGTGGGTGGGTTGTCACATTTAGGAATAGACAGATTTACATAGTCAATATAAAAAGTAATCAAAGACGTCCTGGCCTGCTGTTATTAATAACTGGTTGATGAGGAAGGATTGTCAGCTAACGCAGCTGAGCTGTACTCTCCAGGTTATAAAAGCCGGCCCAGGTGACCTGCTCAGTCTCTTCCATTCCACCAGGTATCAACTCTCCTTGATGTTTGTGTCTTGGTTGGTTTATGTTTAATAAATCATCTTTTATTAAAGTAAACATCTTTTGTGGACTCCCTCCTTGTTGCCTACCTTGACACAAATGACACACAATTCAACTCACACCGGACACACACACACACAAAAATACTACGAGGTCGATAAAGGACACAAAGGTTTAATCTTAAAGTTCCTGATGGGCTGATCACACCAGTCACGTTGTGTTTCCCAGGTCACGGAAATCAAGAGCTAATATTTCATCAAATACACTGATCGCCCACAGCTGTGACATCAATATCAACAAGCACCAATGTTCATAATGATGCAACAGTGGAGATGAACTGCTCCAAACACTCACGTTTCTCACATATTTTCTACTTTTGCATGTTTATTATGTCAAAGAGCAATGTAACGAGGGGCAGCCAATCAGGAAAAAGGATGGCTCAAAGTTCGTTAGAGCTCAAACTGCTTATTTCAGGGCCCAGTATAAGGCAAATAAAGCTTAATTTGAAATGGGAAATATGTCAAGCTACTCTAGTAAAGTCCAAGAAAAAAAAAATATGTGGAGTTGGAACTTTCTATAATAAATCAGCTTGAACAACCAGTTTCCCTGAGACGGGACTGAAAATGGATCTTCGTCCAGCAGTGGGTTTAATCCAGGTCTTGGCCCCGTGTCTGTGGCTCATCTAGTTTCCAAACTAGGTTAAGGTGGTGCTGTTAGGAGGTGAAGCAGGTGTGAATGGAGATGGTTCTAAATTATTGAGTGCCCGCCCCCCCGCGCGCGCGATACAGACAGCAAAAATATTTGCCAATAAGTATTTTAAAACTATTTGAAATTGTTGTCACTAAACAAAACCTGGTTAAACTACAAAGAAAGACCGGATCATCTGACTGTTTGCCACATGACTCTAACTGTTAAATGTTTCAATGAAGTGTGCTAGCTCCGCGGACACAGGCAGGTTTGACCTACCAGGTAGCAGTGAGTTCTCCGCGGGGACAGCGTGTGTTTCAGGGCCGACTGCCTCGGTAAAGCGCCGAGTGTGAGCTTCGCCGGACTCTGTAAGACTCTGCTGTGAAGCAGCCGGCAGCCCAGGCTGTGATACAGCACACTCAGAGCCATGGTTGGACCTGAACAGAACCGCTACAACAAGCAGGAAGCCGCTACAGCTTTGGGAAAGCATGAGAAGTGAACAGGAACTCTGCGGACTGGCTTCTGTTCTCAGATCAGTTATACTGCAGCGGTGCTAGTTTTAAATAGCCCACAAGGCGCTAAAGTGGCTGATTTCAGATCCGTAGCCGGGGAACGGTTACTAAACACAGGAAAATACGTCACAACCTTCTTCTTCTACTGTCTCTTTTGGCCGTGTCTATGCTGCCACCCGAAGAATGGAAAAGGTTTACTTTTAGACTAGACTGGTCTTAAATTCACTTTATTTTATTTAACTTGAAAATTACATTTGATTTAACAGAAGATAAAGTTTAAATAATAAACTTTTTTATTTTTATTAATTATTTTACATAAGTGTTCAATAAAAACTCAAACGGATCAGTGCATTTTAGCTGTCATAGATTTGTGTTTAATCATGTTTCATCAGCCAAAACAGGCTGATGTCTAAATGGCAGTCGTACAGTGTGAAGGCCAGTCTGATCTCAGATCCTTGTTGATGTGGTAATAAAGCCAGGCCACAAATGGGAAGACTGTGATGGCAGCAGCTGTGGAGACTCTGAGTATCCCGACAGGAGCTCTGACAAAATGAGGAGATGAGGGGGAGGAAAGGAAAACAGAGAGCAGATGAAATATAAAGGACAAAAAAAAGTATGGTTGAGTTATAGGCTCAATGTAGGCAGAAAAAAGAACAACAAAAACAACAAACAAAAAGAAAAAAAATTAACAATGCTAAATTTATTAGCTGAGATTAAATTTTCAAAAACATGAAGAGGATATTCTTTTGACACAAAAATATGAGGTAACATTTGGATATTCTCTGAGTTTACCACAGAAAAATGAACAGAAAAATCACTAGGATTAAATTGTTTTTCTAAAAAAAAAAATCTCACAGTAATTATTATATTATATATACACATACAGACACACACAGAGAAAAAAAAAAACTATAAAGTTACGTTTTTTGAAAGTTAAAAAAAAAAAAAAATTTTATATATATATATATATATATATATATATATATATATATATATATATATATATATATATATATATATATATATATATATATATATATATATATATATATATATAAATAAATATATAAATAAAATCAAAAAGTTAAGAAAAAACAAAACAACAAAAGACAAAAATATTTTGTAAAGTTCTCAGTATAAGATGGAAATGAGATTCAAACTAAATCTGTTACCTTCCAGAGTGGCGACACAGGAGGAGCCAAATTGCAGTCAAAACGAGACCTGAAAATTCTCTAAAGGGATAAAAACTATATCAAATATCCATGTATAAAAATAATAATCTGCAAAATATGTTACATTAGTGTTTCATACAGAATTAAACTATAATGATACAGCAGAATGCCTTTAATGAAGTGAAGCTTCATTATAGTTATACCGTCTGATAGGCAGCACATTTTTTTGAATGGAGAGCCTAAAAATGCGTAAACGGTTTGTTTTTCTCAGATCAGGTGAGGTGTGGCGTACCTGCCCTCCTCCTTCTGGAAGATCTGTGTGATTTGCTCTTTGTAGAGCGTCCATCCCAACATGGCACTGATCGCACTGGAAATCAGCACATGAAGGTCAGCAACACGCCTCCAGGGCAAAGTCTCTGAAAAGGAAACAAAAATAATGAAGGCAAACAATTGAAATCACAACCCTAACTCTGCAACGAGCTGCACGGTCAGGATACAGCCGCAGGGTGGCGCTACGTGCACTGGGGAAATGCACGAGTAAAGTTCAGCAGCAACGTAAGATACCAGCTTCATGCACGTTAATATGAGGACTTTATTGTTAATATGCGAAGCATCTACTGGCAAATGACTCCAAACTCTATTCTGTACCTGTCACATGAGGCTTCACAACAATACACGCACTCAGGACTGCAGGGACGCCGTAACCAGCCTGAAAAAGAGGGTGGTGTTTATAATAAACTGTGCAAAAAGATCAAAATGTCTAAAAATATGGACCAAAAAAAAGTGTACTCTTGTGTAATCTTACCATCCATAAACCTGCATCTGGATCATTGATCTGCAGCGGGAAGTCAGGACATAGTTATTGATCACAGTTCAAAGAAGTGCTGAGAAGACAAAAAATCAAACTCTCACCTGGACGTACGACGCCAGAGCGAAGAACAAACACATGAAAACGTTGCAGATTTGCCAAACAACACGAAGCCACGGCTTCCTCTCCTTACAAACTTCTCCCATAGCTGCTTATTGTTTCACTTCCCCGCCCGGGCCAACGGGACGTGCACACGTTTTAAAGCAGGCGCACCTGCAGTTCCGCAAGGCTGTCAAATTGGTCAAAACCGTGATGGGTTCGTTCGATATATATCACGTCTGCTGACGGATGCATCGATCACAGGCGGTGTAAACGACACGCACTATCGCGTTGTTTCTTTATTTTATTTATATATTTACTTTTTATTTTGTTTAATTTTCCATAATTTGCACAAAAAAGTAATTAAAGTTGTTAATTTAATGTGTCATATCCCGCAAGCATCTTCTAAAACAAACAAACGTGTACGTAAGCATCAAATAAACCTGGCACCCTTTTATTCCTGGACACCTTGATCGATAAATCGAGCACACATTTCAAAAGTCCGCAATGACGTTAGTCTGCTAGAAGACACGCCTTATCCGATTAATCAGACGCGTCCTTGCCGCCGCCATCTTGCAGCGGGGTTCTGAGACCAGTTAAAGATGGAATCGGGACAATTTTCCATATTCTGCTACTGTGAAGATGCTGATAAAGTTCTCCACAGCAGGGAAATATGATCTAAATCCTTTAAATGCTTTATCAGGATGAGGATTGTTTTGTTTTCCTCATGTTAGGTTTGATTTATTGTATTTTTGTCTTTTCTTTGTTGTCATTGTTGTTGTTGTGTTATTTTAACATGTTCAAAATAAAACCGCAAAAAGGAACAGGCTATGTTTCGACATTACTTACACAAAGCATGCAGTTAAATATCATTTTACAGAAGCTCTTTCTCTCTGTGTGTGTTTTAATATGAAAACTTGAAGGTTTGCATTTATTTGTCTCCAGTTTCTGACGTTTCTGACATGAAATATTTTTCCTTTTAATAATGGAGATCCCGGTTATGATATATATTTATATGCCTTAATAATGCACTAGGAATTACAGTAGTTCCCCGCACCAATATGGTGGCTGGGCGGAGGTGTTGCTGCAAAGATTTATGATATCTTTACAAAATAAAAGTACCATGAGTATAAACCTTGTCACTGGTCAGAACAAAGACCAGAAAAGAAAGAAAAATGTCTGAAAATCTAAACTAAAGCAAACAAAGCAAACAAAGCTGCTTAGATTTTTATTTATTTTTTTGTTTCATTCTTCTTCTTTTGTTAAATATAAATGTGTAAACACTACTTTAACACTTTTGTATTAAATCAGCAGACTCAGACTCTTATATTATACTAGTAAAGTTTCATTTGTTTAGATGTTTCAAGCCCATAAAATTTAACTGTAGCTTTGACATTGCTTGTATGTGGTAAAAATGGCATTAAAATACATAATAACTTGATTTACACGTGTGCACACAGCATTGGGAATCTATTACGTTGGTGCAAATCAAAGTGACAGCAGGTGCAGCGAAGCAGCAACACAAGACAGTTTAGCAGGTGCTGGTCATGGGTCACTGCTCTTTCACTTCTCACTGATTTTTTTGCCTGTTTTACATTTTACTTTTTTGTCTTATATTGTGACAATCAAGTGTGCCCTGAATATTAATTTAAATGTACCATGCATTTATTTCGAGAATTATCTAAATTAACTGTGATCTATAAGAAGTATAAGGAGTGAACACAGCATCCAGCTCAAAACAAAAAGCAAAAAGGTTTCACCTCAGATGAACTTCAGTGCAACCTTAGACACTATTATTTTAACATGTATCCAGCCTGAAGCTTGTAGATTATTCCAGGAAGAAGGGCAACATGTTCAAAAGCTTTTTCAAATTCAAATTCAAATTTTTATTTGTCACGTACACAGTCATACACAGTACGATATGTAGTGAAATGCTTGGACAACTGCTCGTGACCTAAAGAAAACAAAAAAGGAAAAGGCTATGAATAAGACAGGAAATAAATACGAAAAATTAAAAAGGGTAAATTTAACTAGGAAGGAATAAAATATAAATTAAGGTTAAAAATGAAATAACTGTACAACACAAATTAGAATGAAGGGTAAATTTAACTGGGAAAGAATAAGATAAAATATATAAATTAAAGTTGAAAATAAAATGACTGTACAACAAAATACACAATATAGAACTATATAAGAATTTTTGGTAATTTTTGGTAATTTGGATGTTTTTATGTACAGCTGTGAAGGCTGATTCTTGGCACGCTTTTACACACTCTGCAGGATAGTACACTGAAAGCACACTGAGTCACAAACAGGTTTAATCAATGTGGCAGTGAGCTAAAATGAGGTGAAACTCCACTAGATACTTATTTTTAATCTAATATAGTCAATTTACCTCAATTTCAGTTTAATTTCAATTAAATTTCACTTATTCCATAAAATGTAATTCAGGATTCTGTGTCATATCTCCTGCTTATAATATCTCTTAAGGACATTGATGTGACTCCTAATACATTTTAGCCAAGCACTGCTGTATTTTATTTTGAAACAAACTCCGTTGAACGTCGGTTCTGTCTGCTGCTCGCGAGTCGACCGCTACTTTTGTATGGAGGGACAAAGGTGCCAAAATGACATAACTAAATAAATAAATAAATAAATAAATGAAGTTACATGAATGAAATCAAGCCGTAAATAAATACAATACAATACAATATAATTGATTTAATAAATATCCATTCATTTTATTTGAAAACATACTGAGTTATTTCACTGTTTTATTATTTTGTATTTCCTGTGCTGCAGTGCATCATGGAATAATTTACGCTGTCAATCGCCAACAGACTCTAGCATATGGTTACCCTGTACAGCAAGTCAAGACAGAGAATGGATGACTGCCACAATCAGTTAGTGTTGGTGTCCACTTGGCTGCCAGGTATCCCAAATCCCAACTGGTAATGATGGAGGATCGTGGGACAAAGTGCAAGTCAAATGCTTTTTCTGTTGTTACATTCACCAAATACACTTTGGGTTTTTTTCTTATTTTTATTTATTTTTTAGTTGTGAATGTAGTGACACGATCTTCAAATGTCTAAATGATTTGTCAATGCAGAGTCTACTTGGAGAAGTGCTCCATTGTTTTTGGAAATCTGTGGTTAGCCTAACACCCAGTTTGCCTTAGCAGCTATGAGCTGCCCAGGCTGTCAGATCTCACCTAATTGGCACACCTGAAAAGAAGTCTATTCCCAGCACTCTGTTTCCAAAGCACTCACCCTAATCTCTAAATGGATGGAAAAACTGGATTTACTCCTCTTAGGTGATATCAAACAGGTGATGTTTTCTTCATTTCAGTGTTTTATTTCTTCAACAACAAATAAGTTTTGCTGATATCAAAGTTAATCTTGGACTGGACAGTTTCAGTGGAGCACTGTCAGTATATTTTAAATTGTGTCACTTGCTTGTTTTTATACCTGATGTTCAGATTGTATTATACTTCTTTATAGCGTTTTATTTTCAATTAATTAATTAACATCAATTAACTGACACTGAAAATATTTGAATGCAGGGAAAGAACTCAGAACCTTTTCAGAAACATCTGGACCAGCAGATGCTGAAGAGTGATATCATGCCAGATTAAAAAAAATATTTGTTATCAAAATTTAGTCAACTGTATTCTAAACACGAGCTGTCTGTTATAAGTGTTGAAAGTCTAACAAACAACAAATAACAACAAACAAATGAATATGAAAAGGGCTTTTTCAATGAGAATTGAGAGTTATGTACACATTTATAGTATTTTTAGGAGAGATCTACACAGAACAGTCTGTTGATTAATTATCATATTATATCTAATATACTGGTGTACCGTTTTTCACCACCGTCTTCCAAATGAGTCCAGTGTTTATGTCCGTTCACTTAGGCTACGTTCACACTGCAGGTCTTAATGCTCAATTCCAATTTTTTGATCAAATCCGATTTTTTTGTCTGCTCGTTCACACTACAGATAAAATGCGAACGCGCTCTAGTGTGAACGCTCAAAGCGGCCCGCATGCGCAAAAGAAGATGTCACACAACGCGCTGTTTAGACCCAGACCAAACAGTATTGTTTGACTGATGGCCCTTAATATAAAGACTTCGGACTTTACGTTTCCCAATTTTTACTTTAAGTTATTTTGTTATTTACATAATAATGTAAATAACCTAATAATGATCCTTATTGCTGTTTTAGAGAGGAGCGGTGCTTCAAAGGATAGCTGCAGATTTCTGTCAGAATCTGCAGATTACAGTACAAATAAAATGTTCACGTTGTCTTCCCAACAGTTTCACTGACATCTACACTGGATGGCCAGGAAGCGTTCGCGATGTCTTCTCAGGCGCTTCTCCGGTGCTGATAATTGGCGTCTGTCTTGTGTCAGTGACGTAAAAGACGGATTTAATGCGACATGACCGTTCAAACAGCAGTCGCTTTCTAAAACATCGGATATGTATCGGATTCAGTACCACATACGAAAGTGACCCAGATCGGATTTGAAAATATCGGATTTGTGCCGTTCACACTGTCATACCATGATCGGATATGGGTCGCATAGGGTCAAAAAAATCGGATTTGGTGCGCTTTCGCCTGCAGTGTGAGAACGTCAGGGATAATGAATTATTTATCGACGCATTTCATGTTGGCACTGTTAGCCCTCCAAACAGTGGGTGTTGACATGTCCGTGTCATTTGGTCAGCTGATTGCGGGTCGTAAAGCCTCTGGGATAGCCAGTTTAGTTAGCCTAGCTGGCTGTATGTTTGTTTTTTTTAACGTTGGTACAAAGGTGGCCTTTAACGTAGCCCTGACGTTTTAAAAAGCTGTAGCAATTTACGGCATTTCAAGCGCCGCTGCCTGCCTTTTTTTGCGGCTGTTAGCCTAGCAACGGTTAGAGTGGCCGTGGGGAAGGGAGTGAAGTTGCTCTCCGAGTCTCTGCATTGCAGCTCCGGGTGCTGCTGATGGAATTCAAACACACAACAATGGCGACTCCCAGCCCTAACAACTCAACAACACCCAGCAGCAACAACGCAGGAGCACACCAGCAGTCCCAGTCCCAGCACATTACCACCATGAGCAGCATGCAGGGTAAGTGGGAGGCGGTGGGAAAATATTCTGGTGAAGCTGGAGGAGGAGGGGAGGGCTCACATTCTG